ATTTTTTTAACCTGAGAAATTTTAGTACAGCAGCACTAGGTAGCAGCATGCTCAGGAGTTTTGCTGTAGATCTTGAAGATGAGACAAAAACTGTAATAAAATTGAGTGAAAAGGATTAACAGAAGCACTTGTTTTCCTTCTGCTTTCCCACACTCGCCCAAGTGGGTCTTTTCTAAGTCTGCTGGGCGATGCTTGCTATTCAGTGTGATGAGAATGAAGCACAAGCATGTGAAGTTTTGCTTTTTGACTCTGTAAAAAGCGTGGTCTTGACAATTTACTTGCAAGCCCTGGGACTCTTTACTTGTAAGTTGTAATTGTACTACCTGATAACTGTACTTCTGATTAGTTTATTTCTTCAATTAATTTGCTGTGGTACTTGTAGACCTCTAGTGGAAGAAGACTTTTTTTCCCAACCAAGGACCACTGCTAATCCCTCTCCCACATGGAATCAACTTCTTGACACATTTTGTTAACAATAAAAGCATTCTGAGCCGAGTTTATTGTGAACATTAAAAAAAACAAACTTAAAGTTATTCCTAAAAGAGCCAAAATAAACTTTCCCAAACTTGTGCTACTGGAGTCCTCTGCCACAGAGGTTGTTGAAAGAGAGATCTGATTGCAATATTTGTGTTGCTTCCTCATGTGGCTTTTCAAATACCTTCCGTGGTACAAGTGGAACCCTGGAACGTGTGGAAATCCTGGTGTTTGTGATTAACTGAAAATCAGTCTTGGATTTGCAGTTGTCTCTTGGGAAGCTGATGAGCACAAGCTTTTCCTACATGAAGTCTCTGCTTTGGAAATTCTCCTTAGTATCCAAATCTATAAATTTGTTTGGTGTATCTCTAAATTAGTTCCATTTTTAGGTTTGCTGCACAAATAATTACAATTTCCCATTTAAGAAATGCCACCTTACATACACAGAAAACTAAAGGTAGGTTAGAAAAAAAATGTGCAATTAACACCCTAACAATGTGCTTCTTTGTAGCTGAAGCCCATGTTGTAGACTTAAAAATTGATATTAAGCCTTCCTCTGTGGATCTGAATATGAAAAATTCCTCTTGGCCTTGCTTGAGTCTGCTTCCCGCTTTGGACAGCCGTCCCTGCTAGATGGTAGAGGAGAGCTTAGCCCCTGAACTAAGAGTTTTTCCTGAAATGCTGTCATTCTCCTGGTCTACAGGTGGTATTGGCTAGAGGGGCTGGGATGCGTGGTGGTGAAGCAGCAAGTGAGTGGGGAAGCGGTCTTGGGACCCCAGGGGTAGATGGAGTGAGGGCTTGAGACCAAGCTATGCTGATTCTCAACCGAAACCTTGCACAAGTTCTTGTACACCTTGATCAAATCCTGGAAGAAAAATGGTTTGTAGGTTATTGGAGTTCAATTTGTCATTTTCTTCCTTTTTTTATTCCCCTTGAGGGGAGAACGGTGATGATGTGGTGTGCACTCTATACATAGTCAGCTTTCCTCAACCCTTGAAGCTTTGTAAGAGGATTTCAGATGATGCTACTTCCCCAGCTGTGTCTGGCAGGGTAGGACCCTTATCCTTGCCTCATATCACCCTGTCCAGAAGCCTGGCAAAGATCCCTGAGCTGCCCAGACCAAGCTGTGGTCCCCAACACCTTGAAGGGTGGACGTGCTTTAGGTGTGTGATGATAGCTGAAAGTTTATGCACAAGTTAAACAAGTTAGGAGACTGTTTAGGGGAGACTTTGAGTTTTTTGGATCCCAGTTAGACTCAGGTACAAGATTGCTGGAACTGAGCAGCTTGCTGCCAAAAACTCTGAGCCTGCGCAGGAGCGTTTTAGATGTCTGGATGCACGTAAGCAGCGGTTTGAGGAGGGAGCTGCTGGACTTGAGCGCCTATTTCTTCACCTGCAGTTTACATGCTCCACTAACCTGGCCCTCTGCTGCTCAGTTTGATGTGTATCCCTTTGACTGTTCCAAGGAGCTGCTGAATTTCCAATATCCTGGAAATGGGATGGCTGTGGAAGTGAGAGAGGGGCTTAATCAAGAGTTAAGTGCTGGTGCAATTATGGCTCTTCCTAGAGCTCCTTTCCTCCCCTCCCCACCCCAGCTGCCAAGGAGCTTTGCTGTATCTGGCTCAGTTTGGGGTGTTCTGCCATAAGAGTCACCCTCCCTGCCCTGGTACTCGACGCCTTTGTCTTCAGTGACTAATTTTCATCTCTCTCTGAAACGATTTTCAGGACGCAGCCTGCGCTGGATGAACTGACTTCTCCGTTTGCATCCAGCCCACCTGCGAAAACATCTCACACCTCGCAGAAAAGCAAGAAGGCGAAAGAGCTCTGCAAGCGCTCCAGAGATCAGATGATTATTGTAAGGTTCCCCTCGGGGCGTGCTGGGTCCTTGGGGTGAGGAACCAAGAAATATGTCTTGAGGCTTAACTGATAAGTAGATTTCCTCACATGTTAACCTCAAACCGACCACACAGTGATGACCATAACAGGGCAGTGATTAACGTATTTAGCACTAGATGAAGACAGGGTAGTAGCTGGGAAATACATTCTTATGGTTTCCCTGGGACTAACGCTTTATTACGTTTTGGAATTGAAAAGAGATTTATGGAACATAATACTAAAAAAAAAAAAAAGAGAGAAACTCAGCCAAGCCTGTATGGATGCTATAGGAGTGAATTTGGCTGGATGACTTTCTTTTTCCCACGGCTTTCTGGCCTGCTGCGAGCAGAGTCAGCAAGGCCCTGCAACCACAGCAGCAAATGTCAGCCAGGGCAGCACGGGAACAGGAATATGTGACTGAGAGCTGAGCCGGAACAGAGCTTGTTCTGTTAATGAGCGGATGCCTCTGTTAGCTCCATGTCTGCCTTCCTGCTGTTGCCCTTCAGCGTGGAGTACTGACTTTGGAGCAGGAGGAGGCCAAACAGCGTTACTGAGGCTCGCATGTCATGCAGCCATCATGAGTATGAGTTTCCAGAAAATACGCCCTCAGTGATGAGTAATTTTTTAGTAAACCATTTGTTCTTGCTTGGTGACATGCGGACTGTTTCAAGGCCGTTTCCTGAGGGAGTGAGGCTTATGTGATCGTTCTTGTCTGCTGATCCGCCCTTTCTAGCACCTTTTGAGTCATTTGGATGATTTCTGTCAAATTTGGGACCTCACAGATAGAAATTTTTTGAGTGTTTTGAAAACCGATCCCTGTGGAAGAGAGAAATCCGTGGCGAGTGACCACGCTGAGCGGAAGGCAGCAGCACGTACC